TTAAACCCACTCTATTTGTAGTATGAATACACAAGGGATATTTATATATAACCATTCTTAGTACTGAAAAGGCAAAGTTCAGGCTGGAAACAGTGTTGGAGAAAGGAAATGTAAGTGTGTCTGTGAACATGTGGTGGTGGGAGTAGCCATCGTCTTGGGGATATGTGAAGAGTTCTGAGGAAACGATTAATCAGGATGAAATCATAGACAACTTAAATCATAGGATTCCACAACAGTTAAGTGGGAAGGGGATGCAGGAACACAGAATTATACAGCATAAATCAAACAGCACAGAAGAAAACACTTTATCTGTTTTTGATGGTTAAGAATCCTGAAAGCAAGGAACATGACCTGTACCTATTTATTATGTTATTATTAATATGATCATTATTTTTTATTTTGTATTGAGCCTGGTATCAAGTGTTGGGTAACACTTATTATGTGTGTTGATAACATAACAAATAACTAATTTTAAAAATACATAAAGATGTGATCAATAGTTTGTCAGGATAAAACATTTTTGCAAACTTTAATAAGACAGTTATTTCAAATTCCAAGAGAGAAAAACATATACAAGATCATCTTCACATTTAAGTATATCCAATGCCCAGGATGCACTCCTGCGCTGAAAAACGGCTGAGTCATCCACAAATATGCCCACATTTCCCAGAACTCCACGTTCTGGGACAGCTAGGGCCTGTTTTCAAAACCTGGGTGACAAGGTGAGGTGTGCAGAAAAAGGAAAACTCCACTCCTAAGACTTCCCTGCTAAGAAGAGAGAGTAAGAACAGACAGTGTGAGAGCAAACTTGCATCATTCCATTCCATCCAGTTGAGGAAAAAACTGATGAGAGAAGTGATCTGAGATATAAAACTCTAAGAATATAAATATAAAACATAAAAGGCCTCAGGAGAAGTCCGACAACATTGTTTTTGTTGCATAAGCCTCCTTTCAATATCCTTCCTTCCTCCTTGGGTTTCACCTCATCTTTGCCTGCTCTAGTCTTACTCTCTCACCATGGCTATGAATGCTCACCTCATTAACACCACCTTCCGGATACTCTGATCATCAAACGCTCTGCTCTCAGGGCACACCTCTGCAAGTGTGTCCAAAGCCAGAGCAACAACTGATAAGGGCACCCCAGCAGCTGGAGTGAGCTGAACAGAAAAACAGTTTGGGAGTACATCTGCCCAGAAGATGAAAGTTCCTCTAATTGTTATATGATCAGAGGCTCCAAAACAGGAAGGCAGGGATGCTCACACTTGGCCACATTTCAGAATTACCAGAATACATTTGAAAATATAGATTCCTAAGCCAAAAACACAAGAATTCTGGTTTGGTTTATTTGGGGGAAGGGTCTTGGAATTTGCATTTTTAAAGCTCACCAGGTCATGAAGATGGCCAGTCAGATATATAAACAAACAATGACTTTAAAAGAGTCATAACTGGGGTGCCTGGGTGGCTTAGTCGGTTAAGCGTCCGACTTTCGCTTAGGTCACGATCTCGCGGTTCGTGGGTTCGAGCCCTGCGTCGGGCTCTGTGCTGACTGCCAGCTCAGAGCCTGGAGCCTATTTCGGAGTCTGTGTCTCCCTCTCTCTCTGACCCTCCCCTGCTCACGCTGTCTCTCTCTCTCCTAGAAATAAATAAAAATAAAAAAAATTTTTTTAAAAAAATAAATAAATAAAAGAGTCACAACTGGGGTGTCTGGGTGGTTTGGTCAATAGCACATCCCACTTCAGCTCAGGTCATGATCTCACGATTTGTGAGTTCTTCTGAGTGGGAGCCCCACATCAGGCTCTGTGCTGACAGCTCAGAGCCTGAAGCCTGCTTCACTTTCTGTGTCTCCCTCTCGGACACTTCCCCACCCACACTTGTCTCTCTCTCCCCTCTCAAAAACAAACATTAAAAAAAAAAGTCAAAACTGCTCAAAGTCCCTACGTAAGCAGAGAGCAGAGGACAGTCCAGAGGCCTGGGGCAGCAGGGTAGGGGGTAGGGGGAGTAGCAGATCCAGTATTTCTTCCAACAGTCTCTCAACCAAGGAAAGATGAATCACAAGACCCGGCCTTGCCGCCATCAGTCAGGTTCCATGGGCCCAGAACTCTACCAAGTCAGACAATCTGTCTTGACACATGCAGTCTTAAGAGAACGAGATAAACAGATAACTCACCAAGTTCTTCTTGGACGCTTACATGTTCATCTTCCCCCAATTCCAAGCCCTACCCTCTGCCTCTACTGCGTGCCCTGGCACCAGGAGTCTGCCAATCTGCCTGCCGTCACTCTCTTTACGTTCCTCATCTCACACTAAAATGCTGTGTGATTACAATCAGCAGTTTTTGATGAGAATATACACTTTTCTTGTGTTCCCAACATGGACTGTCCCAGTGTACCCAACTCTCAGACCCTTCGTGAATTCACGAATCTGTGTTCAGTGTTCATCTGGTTCTAAGAGACACCCACAGGCCTGGGTCAGGAATCCTCAACTGTGGCTCTCAAGACTAGCTGCGAAGACCAGCACTGATACCTCCTGGCTTGGAAAACTTAAGTTTGCTGAGGCTCTATCTCCTGGGGTTTTTTTCTTTCCATAAAAACAGGCATGGTCACCCCTCAAATGGTTCTCATGGGAATTGGCTGTAAAAGGATCTAATACAAAGAAAGTGCTCCTGAACAGTGTTTGTGAGTGTGTACATAGGTTTGATCTAACCTTTGGCAGCGAATATTCCCTTTGAGTTCCCAGCTGTCCCCTCCATGCCATCTTGCCCTGCTACCTGCCAATGCAAGTAGAGACAAATGCCACACACGGGCTTCCCACAAGCCAAATACAGCATACAGTCAGGTTTTGCTTAGGTGTACATCAATCTGAAAAGTCTTTTATTTAGAAAACAACAAGCAAAACTGGGGCAGACCTAAAAGTACAGTGAAGAGCAACAGCTCTATGAACTGCTCTAGTGGAGTCCAAATCCCAGCTCTGAGAACTGTGGAACCTTACTGAGGACTGCTGTGCCTCAGTTTCCTCAACTGTTAAGAAAAAGGGTGGGGGAGAGAATCGGGACAGAGCCCACCCAGCTCACAGAGCTGTGAGGACTCAGTGAGTTAAAACACATGAAGTATTTAGAACAGCATAAGCTCGGCACTGGCTCATCCACAGAGGAGAGAACACCGGCCCCTGACAAGCTCCGGGCCATGGCAGCTGACCCCGTGGGTGGTGTCTCTGCGTCACAATTCCTTCATCCCTCTGGGGCTTAGACACCATTCCCCTCACTTTCCTAGACTACCAGCCATCACATGACCGCATATATAGGGTTATCTCCTTGGCCTTTGCAAGACCTGGTACCAGGAAGAACACAAGCAGCTCCAGTGAATTTAACTTCATTTCCTCCCAGTCACACTCAGTAACAGGTATGCAGAGCACTCCATGGCGATTACAGGAAGCCTTCGAGAGCAAGGGGACAATTAATGGGTGCTCCTGAGACCAGAAGAATAAACAGTGCCTCCAGCTATAAATCAGCGAAGTCTTGAGAGCTGCAGCTAAGAGACTGTTCATGCCAAATCATCCATTTAATCAGTGGCATGTTTACATCTGACGGGCACTGCAGTGCACCCGGTACTAATAACCAGGCTCTGAAGGCTAGTCCCTACTTCCATGTATTTCCCCACCACTTCCCATTCAGCTGAAGCCAATGGAGCCGGAGCCCACCTGCCCATGGACGTTCTTAGTGCCAGCAGTCCAGGCGGTGGCAGGCACTGCATGGGCCCCGACTAACACAGAAGAATGGATCCCTCACACAGACCATAGCGGGCAGTCTCCCTATACCATCTGTGGGTCCCCTGGGGCCTCTGCTCAGAGTATGAAGGACCCATCGTTTGTGAGGCAAAAAAATAAGAAGCCGTGCTCACGAGGAAAGAAACCTGGGTCTGAGTCACAGCTCCCTGTGCAGGGTCTGGAACACTGCTTACCAGTACATACACAGTATCTAGAACAGCACCTGGTTTATCAGAAGTGTAATAAGTGCTAACATTTATTGAGACAGCTATAGTACACACTTCTTAGGCAAACCTAACTTTATGAGTGAAACCATGAGCCCATAATCTGGCAACCTGAGTGGACACACCTGATGTGTAAGCATCTTATAAAGGGCATTAGAGGTCATGGTTTTCTTTCTTTCTTACCCGGTGCTGAGTCACACCTTGATAAGGCCTTCAACCCAAACTGTGCATGCTTCTCAATCTAACTGCACACTCTCATTTGATAGGAAAGGTACTGGAGCATTCTTGTGAACGTGACAAATCATACCATGTAACTTGAACTAAAAAATATGAAGTGGGTCCTGCCCTGCACTTTCACTACAAAACAAACGAAGCAAATCGTTACCAAATGAGGAGGCCATCTGAAGTACTACTCCTGATCTGTCAGTAATACTATAATACAGAAAAACTAATGTGGAGAAAAAGGGACAATGGCAGCACCTCTTATCTAACACATGTGGCTTCTGATGTCAAAAATGCTTACTTACTCAAATGCTAATTCTGCATTTCCAGGTAGCCCCAGTTACTACCTATGTGTGAGCAGCTATTTACACTGGGTGGCTGTCGACAAGTTCCTCCGACCAGGGTATTTAAGAGAACCCTGCTTAGCATAACACCCCGGCTGCCACTGGGTCCTATCGCAAGTTGATTTGGCCAAGTGTAAGAAAAAAAACCTATTTAGGTTGTTGCCTAAATATTCATTTGCCGAATGATGTGGTGATATTGAAAAAAATAGAAAATTTCAAGGGGCGGGGGAAGCCAAGCTTCTTTTGGATCACTGAAGGAAAAGACATTAACACGGAGGCCAGCCTGACACCCACAGAGATCCAAACATCTCTCTCACTTCCATTTCCTGGCAGCAGCTGACCGACCAACTCAACTGTAACAGGAGACTCATTATGTTGCAGTTTCTGTCAAGTTCCTGATTTTCATCTGTTCTTCAAGACGAGCAAGAGCCCTTCGTGTGACAGCCTTTATGTGAAGTGTATACTGAGACATATTCTGAAATGAACGCTGTTTGACTCACAGACCACGGGCTGCAGGCAGGTAAGGAAACAGCTTTTCTGTGAGATAACGTGAGCACATATGAATGCCTTAGGAGAACAGAAATGATCTGTGAGCTGGGTGGCAGCAATACCTGTGCTACCACTGGAGGAGGACATTCTTAGTAAGTCACTTATTATTTATTATTTGAGAACTATAATTGGTTGCTAAGGGGTTACATTTGCTCATACTGAGTTTGGGATCCAAACTGGACACTTTATCATTGATGACTACTTAGGATTTCCAATTTGGGCTATTCTGTGAAGAAGATGTATCAAAGAGAGTGCCTAAAAGGTATTCATCCAGGACAAACTTTTTTTTTTTTTTGGAATTTTTTTATAGTTTATTTATTTTTGAGACAGAGGATGGATGGAGGAAGGGTAGAGAGAGAGACATACACAGAATCTGAAACAGGCTCCAGGCTCTGAGCTGTCAGCACGGAACCCGACACAGGGCTTAAACTTACGAACCACGAGATCATGGCCTGAGCCAAAGTTGAACACTTAGCCCCCTGAGCCACGCAAGTGCCCCCAGGACAAACATTTTTAAAGGTTATAAAAGTATATCAAAATTGCCTCTAAGAACTACGCAATCAATTATTACTATACTTACAAGTCAGTGTGTATGTTTCTTTGTACTTGCACGAGTCCACAGATATATAGTTAGTTATTACCTATATGGACATACACTGATAAGGATAAAAGCCTTTGTCTTTGTTGGTATTGGTATAGCTTAATCCTACTAGTGTCTAGTAAGATATTTATTTGCTTTTAGAGTCATAAGCTACAAAAACACCTGTGCATAGCAAAAATTTCAGTTAATACACTACTTATTATGGTTTATGACTAATCACCGAAGTTATTTCAAATATTTTAAACATTATGAATTTAAATTACACACAGAGGAATTTAAAATTCACACAGGGGAATTCCACAACGTGAGCATATTCAACCAATCTCATGCAATCCATCTAATCCAGAAATATATTTAAGTTTTTATTTATTGAGAGAGAGAGCGAGCAAGCAAGCAGGGGAAGGGCAGGGAGAGAGGGAGACAAAATTCCAAGCAAGGTCCATGCTATCAGCAAGGAGCCAGATGTAGGGCTGGATCCCATAAACCTAGAGATCACAACCTGAGCCGAAATCAAGAGTTCAGTGGTCAACTGACTGAGCCACTTAGGCACCCCCAGAAATAATTTTTTTAAAGTACACCTAATCCTATGGAGAAAATGAATCAAAAATCACACTGGTTTAAAAAAAAAAAAACAAGCCCACACACATTGTAGTTCATATATTCTTCTTGTTAAGACAGACTTGAAAACAGGGGCGCCTGTGTGGCTTAGTTGGTTAAGCGTCTGACTTTCACTTAGGTCATGATCTCATGGTTCGTGGGTTCGAGCCCCACGTCGGGCTCTGTGCTGACTGCCAGCTTGGAGCCTGGAGCCTGTTTCAGTCTGTGACTCCCTCTCTCTCTGACCCTCCCCTGCTCATGCTGTCTCTCTCTCTCTCTCCTAGAAATAAATAAAACATAAAAAAAAAAAAATTTTTTTTTAAAAAAAAAGACAGACTTGAAAACAATTTTAGTACTAAAACACTTAAATATCCCTGATAAGTTTAAAAAAAAAATGAAAGAATATGTATTCACCCTAAAATACCAGAGAAATATAATTTTATCTTGAGCATGTAAGTTATATACTTCAATAAAACTATAAACACATAATAATCGTATGCACAAACATAAACAAATGGTTACATACACATAAACTGTAAGTTATTGCATCCATTATAGTGTGCTACAGAAGAAATGAGGACACACCTAGATACTCACAGCATGAAGACACACTAAGGGGAAATGGGCAAGTTGTGGGAAGAGAATTACCATTTGCTGAGATGTTATAGTGCCCATTTCACACTTGAAGAAACAGGTAGAGAGCACTAACTACCCTGAAGAAGACCACTCAGCTGATCTCACCATGAGCCTGAGCTCCCTGAGCACATGTGAGGCACCTGTACTCCATTCATGGCAGCTCCCAGAGACCACAGGGTTTCAATCAGCCCAACCTTACCACTGCCCACACTTGCTCCCTCCCCTTCCACTGCACCCCACCCAATCACCAATCAGCAGGTGCTAAAATCCTCAACTACTTCCATCCTCAACGATGTATTTGGAGGATAGTACTTTTTAAATTATGTTTCTTAATGTTTAGTTTTTGAGGGAGAGAGCACAAGCAAGAGAGAGGCAGTGAAAGGGGAGGGAACAGAGGATCTGAAGCAAGGAGCTGACCACATACAGCAGGGAACTCCGTGTGGGGCTCAAACTCACAAACTGATCAAGAGATCAAGACACCACGACCTCAGCTGAATGAGGTCAGATGCTCAACCAACTGAGCTACTCTGGCACCCCTGGAATATAGTATTTATAATTCTCTGGCTATAACAATGCTCAACCTAGTATCAGGCACACATCTTAGGGGGGAAGTTATACTTAAAACATAAATTAAAACCATCCCTGCCATCTTTAAACAGAATACAATGGGGAGGGGGAGCAGCAATAGAAAAATAAAGTTGCTCTTGAGGCTCCTGGGTGGCTCAGTTAGTTGAATATCTGACTTTGGTTCAGGTCATGATCTCATGAGTTCAAGTCCTGCACTGGGCTCTCTCCTGTCTGCAAAGATCTGGCTTTGGTTCCTGTTTCCCTCTTTCTCTGCCCCTCCCCCACTAGCACATGTGCACAAGCTCACTCGCCCGCGTTCTCTAATAATAAACTTGAAAAAAAAATTTTAATAAACGTTAAAAGAAAAAAAGAAAGTCTCTCAAAGTCCGAAGAATGAGGGTGGGGGTGCCACATTAAAACAGCTATTGAGTATACTAGGTAGCAAGTTACTAAGTAAATACCGTTTAAGAGGCCAGGCTGCCAAGCTCCCGGAGTCCCATTCCCTGATGTAATACTGATAACATCCATACAAAACTGCTATGGGACTGAATTAGATCATGTATGTAAAGTCTTTAACACAGTAAGACAAGAAGCATTGAGTAAATATGGGCTGACACCATTTTGTGAAGGCCTCAAAGTAGATATATATGTAATTATATATAACACCATTGGAAAACAGAAGAAGGGGGGATGGAAGGACAGAGGGAAGAAAGAAGAAAAAAAAACAGTCAAGGTTATTTCCCACTAGATCTAAGATGCTTCTGAAGTCAAGTGCAAAACAGGAATATTACTGCCTCTAGAGTTAATTTAGGTGTTAAAACTTCCTAGGCCGATGCGTTTTATGGCAAGATACCAGGAGTCACATTTATTACATCTGATTTCAGCATTTCCTTGAAAGTTAGCTGTCTCAACCTGCCAGCATGAGCAGTCTCTGGACAGGCAAAACAGACCAGTCCAGAGATAACAGGGTGGAGTCAACACAAACTTACTCTGCCACCTTCCTCATGGGTATCTGCACTTGCAGAAGATTGTCTGACAGAGGACGATGGGACAGTAAGGAGAGTTTCTTTCAATGAAAATTGCACCATCAGCGCAATCACCAGTGAATTTGTTTAGATATGCAAATTTTTTATCCCAGAACTACTGAATTATGAAACTGTGGGAGTGAAGATTAGCAATCTGTGTTTTAACAAGCCCTTTAGGTGATTTTGTGCACATTCAATTTTGAATTCCGGTAGGTAAAATGACCATACATCCTGGCACAGGGTCAAGCATGTATACTTCCTACTTAAGTGACCTAGTTTGGACAGTAAATTATATGGTCATCCTCACATTTCAGACTGGACACTATAAAGAGTGGGCTCTATTTACTACTTGGGATTTCAAATTAGCTTCAAGTCTGCTACCACATTATGGTAATGAACCCAACAAGTCTCTGAATGCTGAAAAATGCATTGCCCCAAGAAGTCTAGAGGGCAAGGCTAGAGAAACCCATTGCAATAGAGGTATCCTTCTTTGTCAAAAAATTAAACACTAACAAACTATATAAAATTCCCAGCTTCCTGAGTACTATATAGGATCAAGTTCCCTCCATCAGGTCTTTAAAAATTTTTTAGTGATATCTTCTGGCTCCCACACAGGGAGTTTTTTCTTCTACCAACTAGCACCCTAGAAAAGTACAAACCTAAAAGGTAACTTACTAGCCTCATTTTTATCATAATAACTTAGCTATATTAATTCCCAGAAAAACCAAGTTTACCACAAAGCTTCCCAATCACCCATTCTTTTAAAGGCAAAGTTAAATGTTGGTTATATGCTTTTGGATATGATCAATTTTTGACTCCTTTGAAATCTTTTGTCTTTACACAGTCTGAATCAAATGGCTGGTTTTTTATTCCACTCTGAAGCCTTCCAGCTGTTGTTTCTGAAAAGCATCAAAGGGCTCAGACACCATGTTCTGACCCTTCATTTCTCAGATAAGAAAATAAACATAGAAGGACAGTCGCTTCTATTCAATTACGTACCATCTGTTGTTAAACTCAAGACGTCAAAGAGAAAAATGATCAGCTATTTGGCAGCTCAGGCTTGGTGCAAAGGAGACTGTGTACTTTGGTGTAGTCATTTGAATAGAAAATCTGATTCTCAATTTTTCAGGATCACATACACTGATTTTCATGTAATCACTAGACTGTAACAGCAATTTACACCAAGCAGACCTGCCATATGTCAAGTTCTCCTTTACTGCAGGGGAGATACCTGGCTTGGAAGCAAGACTCACCCATGCTTATAGGATCTTCCCAGTGAGTTCAGCCCAAAGGTCAATGGTTGGTAGATAAGCTCACAGAAGGCTTCCCCTAAGGAATGTTTCCATCCTGATACAGAGGGTAAATGAAATCTTCTTCCCATCCTGGACATATTTCAGTCATTCATGCATTCATGCAGTAAAGACTGATTGTGTAACATGTATCCACCATAATTCTATATGATGCTAACAAGTTGGACTACAGCAGACTCCCTGACCTCATGGAGCTTACATTTTATGAACAGGCACCAAGACAAGCCCCGACATC